ATTAGTTAATTATACGTTCTAATCTAAAATTAAAACAGAAAAAGATCAAATTCAGCTTGATTAAAATTTATGATCTGAAACAAACAAATGATATAACTGATGATTTAATTTAAATTGCCCGGCTGTCTTGAAAAAGGAATTTCCCCAGGAGTCAGCATAAAAATGAATATGTCATGTTTTCAGGCACAATTTAAAATTATATACAAGGAAAGAGTGAGTATTCATAATTGCCCTTGGCAGTACTACAGTAATGCAAAGATAAAAGTCAAAGTTTAATCCTAAACTGTTATGTATGCTCTACTTTTAAACTATTATAATTCTCACACTGATTTATGGGCTAAATATAAATTCTGTCCAGGCCTTTTACAAAGTGTAAAGCATTCATTGCCTTTCAGAGATGGTAGAGCCATATTCATCTTATCTAGCTATAATGAGACCCTAAAAAGGTAGCTAGCTACCTGTGGTTTTGCATTACATTCATCTAAACATAGATTATGACCAATGCAGGGAGTTTTGGCCTTCCCTGTGCCCATGGTCCATCTTTCCCTTGTGTACGTACCAGCCTTAGTTTGGATGATACTGGTTGATATAACAAAAAATGGCTGACCTAAAACTGGCTGATCTAACAAAAATGACGAGTTCTTGATTCAGCTCATCCAAAATACTACCATGGGCCCAGACAGGGACGCAATCTCGTGAGGAGGGCATAACCTTCCCTCAAATCTAGCCCATGCTTTCTGATACCGCTTGGTAGTAAAACCCATGCACTTAGATCCATAGCTTCATTTCAATGTCCTCCCATGTAACCAGGGGCCACAGTGCCAAAAACAGCTGCGACATTCTCCTCAGCGTCCTCCTGTGCAGCTGCAGTACCACCAGACCCTCTGCTGTGCTCCTCAGCACGCTCCTGCACAGCTCCGGTGCCACCAGGCCCCACGCCGGGCTCCTCCTCAGTGTCCTCCCGTGCAGCTCTGGTGCCACCAGGCCCCACGCCGGGCTCCTCCTCACTCCCATGACACTACTCCATTCCTCCATTCCCGTGACACTACTGCTGCCCTGGGTGATCAGTTCAGCTCTCTGAGCCCGCAGAAACCTGCCTGCCCGCAGGCACTGGGCACCAGACAGAGTCGCGGCCCGCCCAGGGAAGAGCCAGCGCCCCATCCCAGGCAGCTGGGGTGAGCTCCCGGCCGCAGGG